CTTCTTTTTTTCTGAAGAAGGGTCTAGGCCTGAAACGTCAGCCTTCCTGCTCCTCTGATGCTGCTTGGCCTGCTGTGTTCATCCAGCTCTACACCTTGTTATCTGAGTTTTACTGATGATCTCTTTTCCGTTGTTAAGAGGGTGGCAGTAAACTATAGATCGATTTCCTCCTTTCCCTCTTTATTCCCAACCCTTACTGAGAGAGAATGTTCCCGAAACCCTGTATTTTAGATTCCAATTTTTGAAATATACCCACAGCAAAAAAATCTTTCAAATGAATCAACAATAAGGTTTATTATTGACACTTACAAAATGTGGAGGAATGAATTCCCTATGCCATCCACACACATAAGCACTCAGGAAATTAAGCAAGACAGGACAGGAAACGAGGTAGGGTATAACTTAAGTTTTGGTAAATCCAGGGCCAGGTAAATCAGTTTACGAGAGTTAGGACTTCCAGAGCTCAATATCCAGTAACAGATTCCTTGATAAGCTGACCACAGCAGTTTTCCCTCTGGCAGGCTTGTAAAAGGTTTGTAAAAGCATTACTGCCCATGTTAGCGCAACGGGTCTTGATGTTTCCCTGTGTCCAGCACCAGAACAGCTCCCGTCCTTTGTGTCAGCTTCCGCTGGAATCTCTAGATCGTGCAGGGGTTCAGAAGCTTCTGGAAATATGGCCATGCGACCAGTCTTAGCTATTTTATGTGCATTTTTAAAAGAAACAAAATTTAAACGTGAAAATGCAGAAGCGATATCAGTTTTCTTTGTGGTTTTTCTCCATGTCCTCTTGTCATTGCAACCCACTTACTGACTTGCTGAAAAATAATAAGGCCTAGGAAGACTCTGGGAGCAACTGGGGCTGAATGAAAGCTCATTCAAAGACAAGTATAATGGGCCAAATGCAGTGCTGCCGTGCTGAGAGGTTGCGTGAACTCACTACCAATTGGGATTTGATTTTTTTTTAAAACTGTGGACCAAGGCATTGAATAAGAGAAATGATGAGGCACGTTGCTGGTAAAATGGAGCACAGTTCCAGACAATGATTAGCCTGCACGTTGAATTATTCCTTGTGAGCCATTGTGGATTTATCCACAGTGTTGACTGGTGGATGATGTGGAACAGCTCTGGATGCAGCTGTAAATCTGATCGCTTCTCTCCTTTTTTTGCTCATGCACGTGTCTCTTAGACTCACCAAAGAAAGAGTTCAACCGAGAGCAACATATCCCAGTACAGCAAGCTGGATCAGTACGAGTCCCGGAGTCTCCTCATGTGCTTTCTTCACATCGTGAAAACTATCTCGGAAGGTGCGTCCTGTTCCTCTCTTTGATCTGTTCTGCAAGAGTTCTGGTAGAATCATAGAATCCCTGCAGTGTGGAAGCAGGCCATTCAACCCATCGTGTCCAAACCGACCCACCCCCATTTCCCATGGCTATTCCACCTAGTCTGCACACCCCTGGACACTATGGGCAATTTAGTATGGCCAATCCATGTAACCTGCACATCTTTGGACTGTGGGATGAAACAGGAGCATCCGGAGGAAACCCACACAGACGCCGGGAGAATGTGCAAAGTCTACACAGGCAGTCACCCAAGGGTGGAATCGAACCTGCGTCCCTGGTGCCGTGAGGCAGCAGTAATAACCACTCAGCCACCATGCCAACCCGAATTGGTTCCCAACTTTATACCAGCAGATCAAGTTTATTGCTGTCATACCTAGCTCTTCCCTCATCATGGCTGAAGCCTTGTAACTGGGGTCTTCCTCAGTAACTCTTCCCTGTTTCTGCCACCCAGCTCCTCCCCTAACTCAGCCCCCATCGCTGCATCCAGGAATGACCGAGAAACTGAAGAAACCCTGAGTAAATAACGATAAATATATCTAAATTCTCTCTGATCTGTGCTCAAGTGATTGAGACCAGTATAGGAGGTCACGTGGATGTTATATTAGGAATTAGATTTTATTGTCACATTTACTCAAGTACAGGAGTACAGTGTTTTCTTTATAAAGGCACTTTCTTTCCAAATGAGGTGACTCCTGGCTAGGTGTGCTGGCACATCAAGACACACCCCAGGTTTTATTCCGGTGTTGTCAGTGCAGAGAGCTGAAAGAACTCCCGACTCCATGATCTCCAGCCCTGGCCTGGGGATGAGGTGTTGACCTGGGGGGAGTTGGGTGACCCAGGAAGACCCAGAGAAACTGGCAGTCGCTGAGCCGGACTCTGAGGAAGGACCACCTCGGGGCTCCAAAATTGGTCAAAGTTTAAACCGAAAGACGATTCAGAAACCTCCCACCAGCTGTCACCCCCTCACTCCCTTCACTCATCCCATCTATTTCAACCTATTCCCATCTACCCATCCTTCTGCTGCCTCAGACAATCCATGTCCCAAAACCCTCCCCCATTCCAAACCAACCTATGTCTATTTTGCCATCCCCACTCCTCATACTCAAATGCCAACTTATGACTCTGTTTTCCCACCCCGCCCCGCCCCCCACCATCATACATACCTCAAATGTCACTTTCATCCCAATAGTTCTTTATAGCCTCTCTGCCATCTTGTACCCTTCAACCACTGCACTCCCCCTCCCAACACCATCTCCTCTATTATCCAGCATGGGTGTTAACCAGGAAGCATCCTGACAGTAAATAAATTAAAACAGCCTATACTATATTGTTAAAAAAAACACATTCTTGTGGTTAGAAAAATGTAATGTATTGAAACTGCAGCTATCCCTTTCAAAAATAAATATAGCTGGAGTTTTTCAGAGAAGTAACAGAATGGTTGATGAGGGTAATGCTTTTGACATGATATACGCATGGATTCCCAGAAGGTATTTCATTGCAATGCCTCACAGTAGACTTATGAGGAAGGTTGTAGGTCATGACATGAAAGAGACAGTGGCAATGTGGATACAAAATTGGCTAATTGATAGGAAACAGTAATAGTCAATGGATAGTTTTTGGGCTGGAGGAAGGTCTGTGGTGGAATTCTCCAGGGATTGATATTTGGGACCCTTACTTTTCCTGATTTATATTAATGATCTGGATCTTGGTGTGCAGGGAACAATTTCAAAGTTTGCAGATGACACTAAACTGCACACAGCTGCAAACTGTAGGGAGGATAGTGTAGAATTCCAAAAGGACATTGAGAAGTTGGAGGAGTGGGTGGATGTGGGCAGATGAGGTTCAATGCAGAGACGTGTGAGGTGACGCACTTGGCCAGAGAACATTGAAAGATAATGTAAAATTATTAGGTACAATTCTAAAGGAACTACAGAAGCAGAGAGATCTTACTGTGCATGTGCCCAGATCATTGAAGGTAGCAGGATGGGTGGAGAACAATGAACAAAGCACAGTGTTCTTGACTTTTTAGTAGGAGTATTGTGTATAGTGGTTGGTGCCACATTGTGGCAAAGATGTGGATGCATTGGAGAGAGTGCTGAAGCGAATTACACGAATGGTTCCAGGAATGAGAAACTTCAGTAATGTGGATAGATTGAAGAAGTTGGGATTATTCTCCTTGGAGATAACATGGTTGAGAGGAGGTTTAATTGAGGTTTTCAAAATCATGAATGATGAGGAGATAGGGTAAACTGATTTCTGTTTGGAAAAGAAACGATAACAAGAGGGCATAGGTTTGAAGTGATGTACAAACAAAGCAATGTAAGGCAATCCTTTTTCACGAGTAGTTAGGGTATGGAATCTACTACCTGGAAATATGGTGGAGGCAGATTCAAATGAGGTATTTGAGGGTCAAGAGGGTATTGGATGATTATTTGGATAGAAATAATTTGCATGGATATGGGGAAAAGGCATGAGATTCGGACTGGGTAGTATAATGCAAGTTCAAATGGCCTCCTTCTGCACCATAATAAAATTGTGTGAAATCATAGAATTTTTATAGAATCCTGACAGTGTGGAGACAGGGTCTTTGGCCCAACAAGTCCACACCGGCCCTCAGAGCATCCCACCCAGATCTATCCCCTATAAAGCACCTAATCTACACATCCCTGAACACGATGGGCAATTTAGTATGGCCAATCCACCTAGCCTGCACATCTTTGGACTGTGCGAGGAAACCGAACACCCAGAGGCAAACACAGGGAGAATGTGCAAACCCTACACAGACAGTTACCCGAGGGTGGAATCGAACCCGGGTCGCTGGCTCTGTGAGGCAACAGTGCTAACCACTGAGCCACCGTGCCGCCTCACATAATGGCTGACATAAACAGCCATTTCCATTCAGTAAGCAGTTGGGGCTGTAAATCAATAGGCACCACATTGTGAAGGTCATCTTGGAAAATAAGTGTTGCATCACAAATCCTAAAATGGCTTTGTGTGAACAAGAGCTCTGAATTTGGTGATCATTCCTATTGTAACTCCACAGTTTATTTGTTAACGCTGTTTCTTTATAGCTTTGCCAGTCCCATTGAGGTTATGCACTTTTTACTCATAAGCATATCTTTCACAAACCTGAAGGCACTCTTACCTCCAATGGAGCCATTGCACAGTCAGCTCTGAAGTGGTACATTAGAAACAAAAACAGAAGTTGCTGGAAAATCTCAGCAGGTCTGGCAGCAACTGTGAAGATCCGAAACGTTAACTCTGATTTTCGCAATGGCTGTCTGCAAACCCCACCACCCCAAAAGGATTCCTGACCTCAGTCTCCATGAGGTCCTGGGACCATATCCACAGGGGTTTCCTAAGCTCTCCAAATGGATGAATGCACTGAGAACAGACTGCTGTTGCCTGGTCTAAGCTCTACACTCTGGATTCCAGTTACTAGGGCTTCCAAAAACCAATTTCCATGTAAACAGTAATTCAATTCAATGGAATCTAGCTGTAATTTGCCAGTAATTGAATGGCAGCCCAGCCTAGTGGTAGACCTTCGAACATTGATTGGAAAAGCAGAAAGTTAAAATCATCTAAACAGCCAGCGGGGCTAAGCCAATGAAATATTTTGCTGAACTTTCAATATAGGAATTTGAATTTGGAATGTAGAGTCCAATAATGCAATAAAAACCAAAAGAACTGTGGATGCTGTAAATCAGGAACAAAGACAAAGTTGCTGGAAAAGCTCAGCGGGTCTGGCAGCATCTGTGAAGGAGAAAACAGAGTTAACGTTTCGGGTCTGGTGACCCTTCCTCAGAACTTCCTGATTTACTGTTCCTGATTTACAGCATCCGCAGTTCTTTTGGTTTTTATTAAAAA